CAAGGGATGAAAAATGAAGACACACAAAGGAAGATAAGCATCACGTATTGCCTATACGGACTCAGTGAAGATACAACCCGAAGCAACCGGTATGGAACCAGAAGAGACCTAGATGTGGAAAAGCACCGCTGGGTAATAAGAACAGGCGGGCGGCTCCACGACCTCGAACTTGAAGCTATGCTACAGAAGAGCGCAGACGTGGCTCTCCACTGGGAACCCGCGGGCGGCATAGAGGACAAAGTGAGCCGCGCAGGCACATTCCACTACTTGTCTTTGATGAAGGGGCCGAAAGCGCGCGTGCGCACACACGCGCGCACACACACACACACGCGGCAGACTTCCACATAAGGGGCAGTTGGAACGCGGGCTATTCACACGCCGCAGCTTGGGCCTAGACCTGCATTTCACCATGTGTTAAACCAAAAGCAAAGTGGGTTAGTAACCTACATGTCAGCACGGAAACGCTTGATTTGCAGAAGGCAGAAGAGGTCAGCGCCTGAAGTCCCAGGCGGAGGCAGACTTCTGCAGCGAACTATGGTCACACAGGAATCAAGAAGTGGTATCGTGTCAAATTAATAAGCTTGTACACAGCAAAGGGGACAGAGAGCCTGGGGCCGGAGCAAAACCGCTAGGCGTGTCTCAGACAGCGCTGGTGTCCAGGGTGCGTGCAGAACTCACAGAAGGAGGCCTCCCGGAATAAAAAGGGCCAACACCAAACGGGCGACTGAAATGCACAAATATTTCCCAGACTTAGGAGAGGGCGGTAGAGCGGTGAACAGCAGAGACGTGGCGTTCAGATGCAGGCATGAAGGAGCGTGAGGAAGCGGAGTGGGGACCCGGGGGACCCTGGAAGGCTCTGAAGCGCTAGCTGCAGCCTGCGGGGACAGCGAGGAGGCCTCAGCGCGGAAGCAGGCAGCCCGGACTCCCCGCGTGGGGAGGGGGCGCTGCACCCTGCAGACGTGGCGTTTGGGGGGACCCCTGGGGCCTCTCTAGAGAAACACACAGTGGCTGGTGAGTTGGTTGGGTTTGGGCGCCCCCTAGGATAGGATGACTGGCTGGTACCATCCCGGAGAGAGGCCAGCTGAGCTCAGAACAGCGTTGGCCGGCTCCACCCAGTAGCGCCTAGCTGAGAGGCCCCCGGCGCGCTACCAGGCCTCACAGCCAGCAGCCGGCTCAAACTTGAGCGCAACTAAAGGCTCAGGCTTGCTGGGATTATCCACCGTCCAACTGGAAATCCCCGCTGGCTTGCTGGGATTCAACAATGTTATGGCTTGTGTGTAGTTGTCCCCCTAAGCCTCCCCTAGTCCTGGGGCGGCTTCTCGAGGTTGTGATTAATTCATGACCCAATGCTGGGGTTGTGGGGGTGAGTGTTATGCCTGCCCTGGGGAAGACGGCCGGGGTGCAGTACAAGGCAGGAAGGCTTGCCTCTGCCCCTCTGCCCCTCCACCTCTGCAGCCTCTGCACCTCCCTTTTGCTCCTGCTGTTTTGCTCTTTCCAGCTACCATGAACTGCTGCCCTCTGCCATGCTCCACTCTGCCTGGGAGCCAGCTGAGCATGGACTGAAACCTCCACAAACTGTGAGCTAAATAAACTTTTGCTTCCT